CCCCTGCTGTATCTCAGAGATCTACACATTTTTGATAAACAATGCAACACCTCCTTTCTTCTTTCCCCTCCTGTTCTTCCTTAACAAGCTTCCCTGTCCAAGGTATCCTTCCATACCAGTAATGCAGTCCAACAGTCCAGTATAGACAGTGGAGAAGCACTGTAAGCAGGTATTGATATTGGTAGAGGTGAAAGTGAATGAAGCTCAAGTGTTACAACCTGTATTATTTGGTCCAGTGATGATGTGGTTTGTATTACTAAGGAGGCACAGCTGGCTTCTGAGTCCACTGCAAGGTGCGGTGCCTATGGGAGCTAGGTGGTGTGGGGAGATGCCATTTAAGATTATGGGGCTGTCTGTAAACCAAGAGTCCATGGCTACCTTGAGATGACTGTCATTTTCCAGGAGGGACTGGCGTAATTAATGATGAGTCCAAGGTGTTCAAGATGGAAGCTATAAGCGACTTTCTGCAGTCCCTTCTTAGCATTTGATTAAATAAACTGCTACTTATGAAAGCTTATGCATCTCTGATTTAGTTAGTCTATTTGGATATAGGCAACTCAAGTGTTTCATCAGGTTGTTCCATTACCCCTCCTATCTGTATGACTTTATTGCAGTTTCCCATTTCCCACCACCCAAATTCTGACTTTGATTATGTCACCGTTTATTTATTTCTATCTGAAGCTGCCATTCTTCAAACCTATTTTAAGCCTACATGGTAAACTGTCTTACTCTGTTTTACTTCTATACCCTTTACTCCTTGGTAAAATCACAAGTAAACTGTAGCGATAAAGCATATAAACCATGATCTTGCAAAGTTGCAATGACGATTCCCCTCAGTGTCTCCCATTGATTTCAGTGGGAAATGAGGCTCTACAGTGCCGCCCAGCTCTCGATCAATTTTGTGGGATATGATTTTTGTACCTAATACCCAAGAGGACTGAAAAGTAAGCGACAATGTGTACATGCAGCACAACTTTTTCATATACAACATCTACTTTTTCTTCTTTTCTCTGCAACACAACTGTCAAAGAGAAAACTCACAGACCTTATGCTCTGCCAGTTAGATGTCTCACAAGAGGACATTTGCAAAAATCCACCTTTGAAAAAGAATATTTAAAATACACAAACCATACATAACACGCACATGCAAAAATAACCATAGAAAGGAAAACAATATAAACTTAAAGACTATGAGCCTGGAACCAACCCTCACTCAAGGAAAAATAATACTCTTGTAAATAGAAGTTATGCCTTGGTAAGGACTGCTTGCTTCTGTTTTGTCAGCAGATCGGATAACTCTTAACCTCTATCAGCTGAAATCTAGAAATAAAATAGACATATTCTGGAAGGGGAGGCACCGCTTTCCAACAACTTTGAAATTCCCTAAAGTGGAAGGGCTTTTCAGAGGAAGAGCTAAAAATAGCAATCAATTTGCTCAGAAATAGGGCAGTTACTCCTTTAAAAATAAAACAAATACCCTGCACAGAACAACCACAATGACAGCACTAGAAACAAAGTTTATAAGAACAGTAGCATTAAACTGCCTCCTGTCATCATTATTAGGAATCTGAGCTTTCTGTTTCCTGTTGAAAAAATACAATATTTTCCCATTTAAAGGAGAAAAATGCAGATTTTCCGTTTTCATGGGGGAAAAACACGGATTTCCCCATTTGAAGCAGGAAACTGCGGGCATTTCTTTTGCAAAGAGCTCTCTGCTGGCTGGCAGAGCTCCAGCTTGCAAGAGCTTCTTGCAAAAGGGCCAGGAAACCATAAGCCCTGTCCAGAGAGGGAGGGAGAGGCGAAAGGGGTGGCACTTGAGTACCAGGGTCAGCCAAGGCTTGGCTCAGACTCACCTTTCCTCCTGAAGCCTTTGGGGTAAGTAAAGCTTGCAGAGGGCTAGAGGCCATCTGGCGGCCCCCTCCAGCAGGACTGGGGGAGGTGGCAGGGGGTTCCGGGTTGGGAATGAAGGGCACCAGCATGGTTGAGGGGGGACCCTGTGGGTCAGGTGTGGGTGACACTGCCAGGACTGGGGGAGTTGAGAGGGGGCTGTGGGAAGAGCCAGCAGGGCTGGCAGGGGGCAAGGCAGGGCTATGTGGGTAGGGTCTGGAGAAGCAGGGAGGAGTCTACAGGTGCTCTCAGGCCAGCAGCAGGAACCCGGGCAGCATCCCCACTCCAGGAGCCAGATGCACTGCACCCCGCCAGGGGTAGAAATGGGCAGGTAGGCAGGCTCCAAGCTCGGGTTCCTCTGGGCACAGTTATAGACAGGGCTAAAGGGATGGGAATTAGCCATTAGGCATATATGACAAACCATGGATTTATTGGGGATTGGATTGGATTAGCTTCCCCCCATCTTCCATCACCATTATCACTCCTGAGGTTTGATTCATTCAGAAGAATCAGGTCATGTTTTTACTGGAAGCCGGACCCCAGTCATAGAGGCAAGAAGGGAGGGAGGGCCAGAAGCATCTTCCCAGGAGTGTTTTCTTGAGGGTTAGAAAGTCCCAGACCCCTCCTTGCCCCTTTGTTGCCTGGAGCCCGAGCCTCAGAGCCCTGGAGCTTCCCAATGTAGGCAAGCCCTTGGAAACCTACCTGCAGGTTGTGTGGAGGGGTATGATAGTAGGCACATGCTGCAGGCACAGACAACACAGAGCTGGACATTTACACACACACGCGCGCACGTACACACACACACACCCCCCACCCCCCAGCCAAAATTCTCCCGCCAAGCTTCTCCTTCATCGACTGCATGAGGTGTATTTCTGGAGCAGAGGTTCATCATTTACTTGTTTGCTAGGGCACTTCTAAGAAATTTTAGGACCTTGTTTTTCTTTTTGTTGGCAGGCTTGCCCTCTTTTAGGGAGACTGTTCTAGGCATAGGCTTTCTAACTTGCTTTATCAAATACAAAGCTCAACCCCTGAGCCCTGCCTACACTTGGGCTAGAACATTATCCCTGGCCAACATTGCTCTGGCACTACCTCAGAAAGGGGGCTAGGAAGTGTTTCATTAGCAGGAGTCTTTGGGATGACCTCTTTGTAAAGGACAGTTTCAAAGGCAAACAAAAAAATACCCCAACCTTGATGAGCTGGGCACAGCACTGAATACTAGGGCTACAAGAAGCTTCAGTCGCTGATTCGATTTGGCAGAGATTTGGCCCGATTCAGTGGTCGAATCTCTGAATCAAAATTGAATCAGGAGACCCTTTAATCTCTCCGAATTGAATCGGAACCCTCTAAATCAATTCAGAGAGATTCAATGATTTCGACATAGACACAGCTTTAAATGTTTTTTCTTCATACCTCAAGGTACCAGGCAGCTCCTGAACGCTGAGTTGCTGGGGCGGATGGAGCTCCAACCCCCGCACCATCGCAGCATTCATGAGCCACACCTGGTACCTTGAGGTTTGTAGAAAAACTTTAAAAGCTGCGTCTATGGCCAAATCACTGATTCTCTGAATCAGCATCTAATCTTTGGATTCAGATTTGGCCGAATCAAATTGGGAAAGTGATCGAATCACTGTCCCTGATCTGGGCCGAATCTGAATCTTAATCGAATATGGCCCATTTCTCACACACCTACTGAATAGCCCCTCAAGCAAGCTGTTCTACTCAGAGAAAGAAATTAGGTTGGGCAGGGAGGGGAAGTCACTTGTTGCTAACTCAATTTCTGTTTGCACCTGTTGCAACCCCTCAGTGTCAGCAACAGGAATCCAGGTTTCTGTTTCCCATAGAAAAATCTGTCTTTTCCTCTTTGAAGTGGGAAACCGTGGGTTTTCCCTTGCAGGCTGGCAGCAAGGAGCTGCTTGAGGCTGGAGGAAGTGGGAGGAGGGTAATCAGAGGCAGGGGGCACTACATGTGAGTGAAGGGGGCAGTGGGATGTCTGAATTTCCAGGATCCCCAAATTCATCACCATCAGCAATCTCTCACAGTCAAAGATGACTGTCTTCCATGGCATTGCCTCCTATAACCTGGCCCCTGGTTCCAATAATATATAAGAGGTTTGGTTTTTTAACATATGTAGAAGAATATTTGTTACAGGACTGACATTCCAATCTTCACAACAGGCAAAACACAAGCAGCTCAACCTTGCAAGGGACTCATGGAGACATCAGAAGTTGAGAAGGTTCAGTGCCAGGCAGGGTCAGGGCCATAATTATTTCCTTTTAGATTTTGTTTGATCCTGATGATTGTACTTAAATCTTACATTACTTATATCTGGCAAACAGCACTTGTGCTCCCACGATAATGCATCATTTAAAAATATTTTTTTAATCAGTTCTAAAAGGCACCTATATATAGAAGTATATAGTTTATGTATATAAGACTCTAAATAGCTAGGGAATGGCTATAGGTAACTCTGTCACATAAACTACCCATTAGCTTATTCCTTTAATTTGATGCAAGGAAGGAATACCTTTTTCTGCTTAAACCCGCGCCCTCCTCCCCTTGAGCTCAGTAACAGGTGCTTAATGGGGAGGTATCTACTTACACAAAGGGAAAGGACTGGCTGAATTTAAAAAAAGCCAATTCTAAGTCAAAAACAGAACTGTGCTTAGTATTTTTCCCCTTAATAAATAGCACAGCAATCCCAAATAAGTGGCATGAAAAGCTGTTATGAATCAGGCTCTGTATTTACATTTCACTGTTTTACTTGTTGTAAATATTATGTGCAAGTGCTCTAAGGGCCAAACTGCTCTTTTGCTGCCAAAATTAGTAGTTTAATGATCTGAATAGCAGAAGCTGCCAATTATTGTATTCCATTTTAAAGTGCAATTTAAAACTAATACATGTAATTATAACATCTTTTGTGTAAGTTTATTATGGCCCTTCTAAAACAAAATAGCCATAAACACTTAACTTATGAAAGTCAAGAAAGCTACTGATAGCTTATTTATCCATTTGAACTACTGTGAAGAGAGCTGGAACACTCCAGATGACTATTTCACCTCCCCATCACCAAACATTTTCTATAATGCAGTCATTCTCTCCACATAAAATCTTACCTGACACAGCAAGCATTTTGGCTTCAAGTAGAGCTGGTAGTTGGGTTTCAATATCACTCACTTTCCTCCTCAAAGTACTGCAGAGTTTCTGACAGGTACAAACCTAGATTGAGGCAGACAGCCATGATATATAATTCATTCATGTAAAAATATCGGGCAATTTAAATGGGGCTTCAAATTGTCTTGGTTTATAGACATGACATAACATTCTAAAACAAGATAGCAAACCTTAATAAAAAGTGATCTGTGATATTTCTATAAAGACTCAGAGCAGAATTCAATTGCTTTGCTATGCATTCTATTATAAAAATTAGAAAAGATTAATGGTATTCTTTGCAACACACAAGAGAGAACTAATGCAGAATGTTTCAGTAGTATATATTGAGACTGCATATAAGAGAAAGGCTTTCCATTATGAACTTTGCTCCAATGTCCCATTTTTCAATAATGCTGCATGGTAAAAATGGAATTCAAGTAAATGGGGGGTTGGAATTTAAAATTCACTAACAAAGACAGTATTGGGAATTTACTTATGAAATATGCTGTCTCCAACCACTTAGCTGCAATTACCAGATTCTGGTCTTTTATTACAGGTGGGCAACGAATGTCACCTATATTATTAGTTCAAGAATCTATAGTGTTTAGAGTTCATTAGATGCTGTTGGATAAGTGTGCAACACTAGCATTATTAGGAAAGTCTTCTAGGTTCAAAACCTTCAGTAGATCTATCCAGAAAACTGGAAAACAGGTAAGAAAGAAAGCAAAAGAGAACAGTTCATGGAGTAAGGGCTGGAAAGATCAGGAAATGACAGTGGAAGCAAATACAAAGGAAATGTACGTTACTGTTTCTGATGCATGCCAAATTCCATGTAGAATCCTTATCTTTTCTTACAATTCTCATAAATTTCAGAACTCGCCACTACCGGCAGACATAAGAACTCCCAAAAGGGGAAAAAGCCTCTTCTACTACACTCTTCTAGAAAGGAATTGTATCAGCCTGGCAGCTGACACCTTTGTTTTAAGAACAGTCATCAATCATTTGCTTAAAACTGTAGCTTACACTTGGAAAAAATATAACAGTGGATGGAAACAAGTATCAAACAATAGTAAAAATGGTACTAAAACATCTTTGATAAGACTAGATTTGAGCTGCTGTGTCAAGAAAAGCTTGTTTGCCTTTTACAGCCTTGATAATCCATGTTCCTCAATAACAAGTGGTGATGAAATATGTTGCATATAGAAAGAAACAAAAACTCCACTGATGTCTGTTATATAAGGTCTTGTAAATTATTCCCTTGTACCTGAATTATGCTTCAGACCCTGCCACTGTAAGAATATAATTAGATATATCCTAGAGACTTATGTTAACTATATAACATTAACTATAAAATGTAGATCTTATTACATTTATTTATAATATCCCATTATTTTAAATAAAAGCATCTGTTAATCATAATTGATTCAGCTATTCCTTTAGTCAACAAAGCTATCCTTCAAGCTGTCACTATTAATATATAACCTCTCTGAATATTCCTATTAAATTGTAATGCAGATAGTTCTAGTCACTGCTGTATATAATTTAGCTTTGTTCGTCTCTAGATAGTCCACATTATTTTCTGCTCTAATTTATCCAATAATTTTCTCATGATGGTGAGGAACTATAACAGTCAGATAAATGTGCCTAAGAAAACCGAGGGTTTTCTTATTCTCAAGTCTGAAATAAAATGTAATATTTTTACTGATTTCCTTCTAAATGGCGCTCTCTCTCTAGGGGCGCTGGATGGCTCAGGGGATTGGTAATTAAACAAGGAATCTTTCACCTCCAGGAAATCAGCATGAATATGTCCCATGCTGGTAGTAACTTAACATCATTACCATGGGACAGCTGTTTGGTAATTATGTGAAATAAGTTGGTAGATTTAATCAGGTTCCTACTGAACAGTGTGTCCACATCACAAACTCCACCATCAGAACTGATGCTGATTGGCCCTCTTGTTACCAGCCTAAGTAGAGGCACAATGGAATATATGGAAACTCAGTTATTTCTTAAGATGCTTTCTGTAAAACAGGAGTAAGGTACATTGTTGAGGCTCCCACAGTACCTGTGCTTTACCTGTCCTTCCACTGACCATCAACCCCATCAGTATGAAAAGGGATCTTTCAACAAAACCAAATGAAAGAGAAGGGGGAAAGAAAATACTAACGTAGATTTATCTTGGCTGATAACAACTACATGTTAATAGTCATAACGTTTAAATCCCCATGGGCTTTTGTAGACAACATGGGGGTTTAATTTTTTTTTCAAAACGCTGCTTCAATTTAGGGTGAAGTAAACCCATGCATCGTGTACACCCATGTCGGAGCCCGATCCTTACCTGCCTCTCCAACAGTGGGGAGGGAAGCACCAAGCTCTGTGCAGCTCAGGGGCTGTGCTAGCAGACTGTGAAGGCAGCCCAGCAGCATGGAAAGCAGGCTCCACAGAAGTGGGGGGGGAAAAAAAAAAAAA